CAAATGTCAAGTCTGGATCCAATGTCGTCAAGTCTCAAGTCACAACTCTGTCTCTCTCTGTCGTAGTCGGAGAAGTCAGGTGGCGAGAGGGTGAGAAGAGAAGGTGGACTTAGAAGAGGAAGAAGAAGAACTCTCTCTCTCTCTGTGTGTCCAGTACTAACCTGTGAAGTTGGCGCCTTGATGCAGGTACCACGAAGATGGAGCTGGAGCGATGGCGCCACAGGTAAGTAAGACTGGCCTCCGCCAGTCTCTCTCCCACTCTACGATCTACTACCTACCAGCGCCCAGCGCTGAAGACTACAGCTACAGCTATGGCGCCCAGCGCCGAAGACTACAGCTAGCGCTACCACTACTGCCTAGCGCTGAAGACTACTGCAGCGCTCCTCCTGAGTGCTGCGGCCGAATCCTGAAGACTACCTCTGCCTACTGACACTACCTACCCGTGAAGTGCACGGGAACCTCCTATGTACTACGGGTGTGCCTCTTGAGCCTGCCGAAGGGAGGCAGGGGCTGCAGCTGCAGCTCCTGCTCGAGTACGTGAGGAACAGGCTATKTTGGGCCTGTTCCGCATCCCTGTTTCCGTGCCTGAGTCTTAGGAGCAGGTCGAAACAATGAGGGCCTGAAAATGGCCCTCCRTTTCAGGCTGAAAACTCTGGGTCTGAAAAGACCCAGAAATAGGCTGAAACGAGGTAGGGCCTGCAGGCCCTCGTTTTTCAGCATCCAGGCTGAAATGAACGGGGCCTGTAAGCCCTAAGTTTTAGGCTTTTAGGCTGAATGTCCGGGACGGGCCCTGTAGGGCCCGTGTGGCTACGCAGTATGCCACACCTGCAGTTCTTGTATGATGATGCTTGGCCAGTGTATCCCTTTGAAGGACACTGTGCCGACATCTGGTTCTGTTGTGCACGTGAGGAGGGGGGAAGGGTTGTCCCCGCTTGGAGCCTTCCTTTCCTGTTGTCGTTGGCGGGTTTTGTCCAGCAGGCCCAACACGGCCATGAAGATTGCATCTGCAACAGCCTTCCAGTCTATGGAGGTGCACTGGGAGTTCAGGGTTGAACCCGAATGGCTCTTTTTCTCCTGAAACATCTTCTTTGTGTGGTTGCTGTCCCATGATGACTCCTGATCCCTTCATTTCTGTATCCGTCCCAGGCGGTGGCGACTCAGCTTCGTCCATCGGCTGCATGAAGTTGTGCAATGCTGTATTTAACTCTCTTGCATTTTGGGCTTCCAGAATTGCGAGCGTTTCTGGGGGGATTGATATTATGGGGGGTGGTCCCCCCACCATGGGGGCCTGTGGATCAGGATACAGGTGTTGGGGGGGGTACACTGAGACCAATGAGACCAATGCACCCGTTGTGGGAGGCAGTGATGTGTCTGCCACGACATCCTGCATTCCTGGGGGTGGGGGGCCCGATTGGTCCATGGGTAGTTTTCCCATGGGGTCCTCTTTGAGCATCTCCACCCCATCCATTGGATCCAGGATGGCTGCGGCCGGGCCCTTACCATTGTTGTGAGCTGCCGAAGCGATGTCCTCTGACATTTTCTTCAGCCTTTCATTCCAGTGCTGAAGCTTTTTGTTTTGGTGCTCGTCCGTGTTCCAGCCTCGACTTTGTCCCAGTGTTACTTGGGGGAGTGTCTTGGGGTATGCTTCCCAATCCCGTACGGAGTCGCTGTCGTTGGCAGCGGATGGTCCTGGTAGCTGGAGACGGGGCTGTGCGAGGGAAGAGAGGGGGGGGGGGCAGGGGAGGTTGTGGCCAGGTGGATAGGATGGTTGTTCAGGCTGCAGTTCCTTTTCTGTGTCTGTCCCGTTCTGCCCTTGGCTCTTCTGTTACATGCACAGATATGCAATGTATGCAATAAACCGAGAATCTGCAATGTGATGAAAAGGACTGAATAGACAATGCGATACGAGTAGAATCTCGACAAGCAATGCACATTCTCATTCATACATAAAGATGCTGAAGAGCGCAGGGAAGACTTTGATACAAAGACTGACCTGACAGGACTGACCTCATACACGTAGTTCAGAGTAGCGAAGCAGAATGCTAGAGTACTACTAACTAGCCCAATCAATGTTTGAACTCAGACTAAACATGCATGGTATCCATCACCAAGTGTGAAGGAGCCTGGCGCTGGACACAGGAAGAAAGCGCCAGGTCCGGACATACACAGACGAAGAGATAAGGATCAGACGAAAGGAGGGAGAAGGATGGGAATGTCGTTAACACCCAGTCTTGGTCACCAATCCCAAATAGTCCCTCGTTGCCATGTCTGAACCCCCAAAAGTCGAGTCTGGATCAAATGTCACCAAGCTCCGTATCTCTTCTCTCATAGTCTGCAGATGCAGTGAAGTCAGAAGTTGAGAGGGAGAGAAGAGATGGTGGACTGAGAAGAAGAAGAAGAAGAACTCTCTCTCTCTCTCTCTGTTACAAACCAGATACTAACCTGTGATGTTGGCGCTGTGCTGCAGGTACCTCGAAGACGAAGCTGGAGCAACGGCGCTGCAGGTAGGTACCTCTGGCCTCCGTCCAAGCTCTCTCTCTCTCTCTAGTACTACCTAGCTATGGCGCCCAGCGCTGGAGACTACAGCTACCTACTGCGCCCAGCGCTGAAGACTGCAAGCTAACGCTACTACTACTATACTGCAGCGCTCCCTCCAGAGTGCTGCTCCCGAATCCTGAAGACTACAACTGCCGACTGCCTACCTCGGAAGTGCCTGGGAAGTCCTATGTACTACCTCGGCCTGCCTCCTGACTACTGGAGGCCAGTCAGGCCGAGGAGGCAGCTCTTGCCAATGCCGAAGTGTGCCAGGGGCTGGCGTGCAGCAGCCTGCTTGAGGCTGGCGTGGGAAACAGACTATTAATAGTCTGTTCCCGAAACCCTGGTTCGGTGCCTGAGTTTCAGGGCCGGTCGTTCTGATGAACGACCGAAAATGGCCCTTCGTTTCAGGCTAAAAATGCTGTTGCCATTTTTAGTCTGAAACGACACAGGGACAGGCCCTGGAATTCAGGCTTTCGGCCTGAACCGACAGGGGGCCTGTAAGCCCTGGATTTCAGGCTTTCGGCCTGAAGTTCAGGCTTTTAGCCTGAACATACGCAGGCCTGCAAAATGGCCTGCGTGTGCACGCGCAGCATGGGCCAGGGGAGGTTGTGGCCAGGTGGATAGGATGGTTGTTCAGGCTGCAGTTCCTTTTCTGTGTCTGTCCCGTTTTGCCCTTGGCTCTTCTCTCCTCCTCCATTAGTTTTGCCGCCTCCCTGATCCTCTCCTTCCTTCCCTTGTATCTTGCGTTCCTTACTGTCCTTGTTTTGCCCTGGGTTGCCGACCCCACTGCTGTTCTTCTCTTTTCCCCCCTTCTCTGCCCCTGACCCGTCGTCTTTCCCCTCATCTTCCCCCTCGTTTTTGTTCTCGCCATGACGGTGTTTTTGTTTATCCTGCCTGATTGTGGGCGGTCGTACTACCTTTTGCTCATCCAATCTCCCAGCTGCCCGCCTGGCCGTGCCCGCCGGTGTGTTGTTTGCCGGTGACCGACCTGGCCTCCCTTCACCTTCCCATTTCCAGTTCCCCGGTTGGTTAATACTCTGTCTGCGGAACACCCAACCTTCAAAAGTTGGGTCTTCGGGGACCCATCTGCCGGGGCCTTGTGGATGGAGTATCACCAACCCCTTCATGTCCCGGCCTGGTGCACTCGGGCAATTAAGGTCTGTGTTCAAGTGGCCCATGTGGTTACAGCCTACAGGCGTAGCGCCAGGGGTCTTGTGGGTGATTGACCTGTACCGCAAACGTTCATCCTTGTTGTGAGAAGGACCACTGACCACTGACCGGAAAACCCACGGCGGGGTCCCAGTCTACTGCTACCAGCAGCGTGTCGTTGCGTTTTGGTAGAAATTGTGGTTGATCCGGGATATAGCCAAGGACTGGAGCAATCTGGTGCAGATCATCCAAGATTGCCCCTTGTACACACAGCGGGGCGAACCTGAATTCAACCCAGAAATGGTCTTCCATAAGTTATTCCCTCCTTTGGTCTTCTGTGAAGGGACCAGAGGTTCGCAGGGTCGCACCGCCACTTGGTAAGATTTAAACCGCAGGGCCGTTTGTTTAAGAAGATTGACTCTGTCCACCGGATGCACTGTGATGACCGAGATCATATTTGGGCCTGCTGTCTCCAATAGGAAGTGATCGGAGACAGCCTGGTCATCAGTCTTGATTGCTCTCAACCGCCCATTCACCCGTCTAAGTTTCTCGTTGATGGAGACAGACCCCGCTTCCTGCGGAAACTTAAATTGGATGGCATTGCGTGAGTAGATATGATTGCGGTTTGCCACCACCTGTGACGAATAGACTGCATGGGGGTAGATATACCCATCTTTCTCGATATATTTCTTGTCACGGCTGATATGCAGCTTTTGAATAAAATGTGCTTTCATCAACCCCATGGCATCAAGAGCCAGGTGGCCTTCTTCAGAACTGTTCCCAGATGCTGCTGACACTTGCATGAGGACAGACAAATCCCAGGGCCTTGACTTTTGTGGGGCCGACACTGTCCCGTCTTGTGATTGTGTTTGTGTCAATATGGCCCTCCACGTGGCAGGTTGTGTTCCCTTCCCTGACTCTTGTTTTTCAGGGGAGGCTTCTTTGGCCTGCGTCGACTGCTTATCGAAGTGCCCTTCCTCCCCTCTTTGTGGAGGAGGTGGTGATGGGGTGATTCCGTCATTATGCTGCGCACGTGTCAGTTGTGCTCTCCCTGGCATGCCTTGAGGTCTCATTCTCCATTTTAGGCGGAGAGCCGTCCCTCGTTTTGGGTAGATCATGTGGCTTTCAGTTGCCATTCGTCACTTTTCCCAGACTCGGAGAGTCGTTTGTACGTTAGTGCGGTTTGGTCTGTGATAGCCCTGCGCATCAGATTTGCCGTATAGCACAGTCCACCGGCACGTGTTCAACGTAACCGACAATTTCGATTGTTTTTGTGCGGTGTTGTGCGCACTTCTGTCAAGTCACCTGGATTAGTTCTGTGCATAGGAGATTAGATATGCATAGATAATCTCTTGAAGCAGAGATGCAGTGACAGGATGCGGGTTGTGGAACTGGGTGGGGCAAGATTGGAAGTGGGTAGGGCGAGATCGGGATATCAGCCGGCCATAGAACTCCTCAGCCCACCGTTCGGTGTTGATGCCTCTTCGACCCACTGCTGCCCGTGTGATGTTAACCTCCAGCGCTCCCCACTCCCTGCACCTGCTTGCCGTCTCCAAGTACTCCCTATTTCCCCCCAAGATGTGCTCCCTGTTCCCTCGCCTCGATAATCGGTCCCCCTCCTCTCCTCCCTTTGTATCACCTCCCTTTCACCTCTCTTTCCTTTTAGCTTTTAACTTTTTCGCCACCGTTCTTACCATAGTTTTCCTCAATTTGCATTTTCCCACCTTCTTCTCCCACTTGAGATGCCCCCTCAATCGCCACCCTATTTTCTGTCTTCTCTTCCAATCTCCCTTCACTCTGTGTTTGTTCTCCCCCCTCTCGTTCCCTCTCACTTTGCCTTCATGTGCCTTATCGCCTCAACAAAGAGCTTCCGGCGTATGCATCCGAAGTTATTCCCGGGCCGCCTTGCCAAACAGCTATGGTGACGGGTCTTCTTCGCCTCTCGTTGCTGACGGAGTCAATGGGAGTGCGGACGGGCCTCGCCATCCGGTCCCGCTAGCGCATTCGCCTCCTCTGTGTCCACTCTATTCTCAAGATTCAATTTCTCTTAATCTGTGCAAGTGGGAAAGAGGGCTTCTAAGAAAGTAAAAGCACAGAAAAGGGGGGGAGGAGAATAAAGCCAGGCCCTGATGGTAGACATTACAAGATAAAGGTCACTTGGCTAGTCAAAAAAAAAAAAAAAAAATCTGAAAAATGCATCAGATTCCCGGCCTGATACTCTCATTTTCTCCTTTTTTCCCAACTAAGGGCCATGCCTCACGTTCCTGATAAGGAAAAAGGAGGCCGGAAGGTCAGGGGCAAGGTCCCACTTGGGCGGATTAAGAGATTATTTTATTTTCATAGATAGCGACAACGGACGGGCAGCACCTGGTAATTCTGTGCAAGTGGGACCTTGCCACCGATCTCATAGCACTGGTGTGCCTGAGCATTTTCAGCGGATTTTCTTTTCTTTTCTTTTTCTTCTTTCCAGCGAGTTCTCTGCCGACTGCCAAATGATCCTTTCAACGGAGAATGGTTGGTGGGAAAAAAAAAAGAAGAAAAAAGGAATGGTTGGTGACAGGGGAGTGTCTTGGCCTCAACCCAGCAAGGTACAGCCATGTGGTGTATGGTGCATGATGACTTTTTTTTCCCCAATCACCCCTCACCGGATGTGATTTCTACCTACCATTTAATACACAATAGTTTTTCGTTTTCTTCAAAAGATGAATTGACTAATTCTGATTCCTTTTGTTTTTTATTTCCTCTCTCTCTCTCTCTCTCTCTCTCTCTCTCTCTCTCTCTCTCTCTCTCTCTCTCTCTCTCTCTCTCTC